CAAGTCTCTAATTTATGGATTTTTCGTAGTACATTAGCGCATTTCGGAAAGCGCCACCAGCGTCAGTTTATGTTGAGAAACTTTTTTGATGAGAATTAGAATCCCAGAAAAAGTATACTATGGAACGCCATGCAAATGAGTAATTTGGAACATCATTTGTGCCAAAATCAATTTATTCTTAAGCATTTCAACTGATAAGACAAAGATTAGGGACTGGAACCCAGTCTATTATGAAATATGTCATTTACATTAATTTTTGTTGCTGTAGAACAGGGGTGGGAATAAAAATGAGTCGGAGGACCAAACTGAATTTAAACATAAGGTGCAAATTTAACATTTCCAATTTTCTTGAAAAAAACCTTAATACACTGCTTTTAGACCATTTTATGCTAATTTTTAATGTCGCTTTTTACTTATGTTCGGCGTTGGGCCATAAAAACATGTGTTTTTCTAGTTCTTTTATAGACTGCTTACTCTGCATAAAGGTAAAGTAGTAGATAGTATCTATTACTTACTTTGGTATCTTGATCATAATTATTTGTCCATATGACAAATTTGCGATCTTCTGACAAAAGTATTGCAGATTAGTATAAAAATCTAGTAGACATATCCAATCCATATCCAATTCATAGTCCAAAATATTCAAATCTTCACTAGTACTTCTAATCTGTTGGATTGTAATATAAACTTTTTTTTATAATAGCAAGACTATTTTTTTGCAGTTACTATGTATTGAAATATAATCTATTATCCACTGTAAGAAAGTATGTGATATTTCGACCTGTTCAGACCTTTGTGTAGTCCATTCATCCAGCTCATCTAGCACTGCTGGGATTGTAATGACTAATCCGATTTCATCATGGTGCATAAGTACGTCAAGCATTTGGCTGAAAAAAAGTGTGTTGTAGTGAGTTTATGATAGAGCTATGCAAAATCCATAAATTTTTGGTATGTGATATTTTGTTCTTGTTTGTTTTCTTTTCCTTCCTCTTTTGAATATGATAGTATATTGTAGATTTATGTTTGTTTTTAAATAATAGTACAGTAGTTATTAAATAAGTAATTAGATATTGTTAATAATTTCTCACAAAACAATAACGTAAATGGACGTAAACATGCAAGTTTGTGGACATGTGTTTGTTGGTCAAGTGCATATTGGCTTTGCACTTCTGATTGGTCAGTTTGCTATGTTTGATTGACACACTAGAACAGGTCCATTGTATAGTAAAGAAAAATATAACATTTTTAGGGGTCGTTATCAGCATTTTCACAACTGTACAAACAGTACGATGGGGTTGGGGGAGGGGTAGACAAATTTGCACACTCTTACATATGCATAAAATGTTGATTCAAATAACATGCAATATGTAAAATTATAATGTAACCATAGATACAATATTCATTTTTAAGCTACCAATTGCATTAGTTGACTTAAAAAGAATGGAGAATGGTTTTACAAAATCAACATTTTTTTGTACACTTTCAGAGGGGAGGGAAGGGGTACCGAAAAAGAGTACTGTTTGTACACTTGTGAAAATGTTGATAATTGTGAACAACCCCTTAATTAACATTCTCTAGATGCAATATGTAATTTGAAGTAATACTCTATAGAGCTTGTTTGGATGTGGGTGAAGACTGTTTTCCATAAAAATCGCTACCCACTATTGCCGATTCTTTTGGCGACGCTGATTGGTCATAGTTGAGTTAGCGTTCCTAATGTGTCGGGGACAGCCACGCAGTGCAAGGATTGCAGAAGCTATAGCGGCTGTGTAGCGATTCAATGGAAGCCAGGTTTGACTGTTGATATGGATGTCTGTAAAAGTATTGTGGTAGCTAGTTTAGAGAGTGCTGTATGCAATTATGTAAAAAACAAATCCTGCAAATATGGTGCTAGATAACTTGTGAAATACAATGTATAAATTATGTATTCTAGTGGTTCCATACCAGTTGCAGAAAAATTGGAGGTCTGCCAAGTCAAAATGATCTCCAGAGCGTTCACGAAAACGTTCGTGGCACACCTGAATTTAAACCAATTTTTTCTTGTTTTACAACAGCGTGATAAACATCTTATTGCTAATCATTGGGAGCCTTATCAACAATGAAATAGTTTTAATGTATGTTTGTGGCGAATAATCTTCAACTAATTGTCATTGTATTGGAATATTTTCAAGAATTGTGAAAGAAATGTGTGTAATATGTATAAACATATTGATGAATAGGTTGACAGGGTTTTAAAGGTTTTTAAACTACACTTTACTCAAAAGTTAGTTTGAGTGTGAGAAGGCAATGTTCTTAAGAGAAAGATTTAAGATTACAGTATTATATTTTGTGACTTCAAATTTTATATAAAAAAAATTGTTAATTTTCTTTCAAAATAAAGATTTATTTTCTTTAAACAATAGATTTTCTGATCTCTTCATTTAATGGTTAATAATTTCATATTTTTGGAGATTCAGTGATGATTATCTAGATGATGATGACAATGATGATTAATTAAATTACCTACCTACCTACCTGCCTGCCTGCCTACCTGACAGCTTCAGTGACGGATCCAGAAATTTGAAATAGAGGGCGCTTAGGGAGACACGTTCCCAGATGTTTGTTAGACCACCACAGCCGTATCATGGTTGGGCACCTAAATTCACCTCTAGATGGACATAAATGGCACTCTCATGAGGCGCCAAATGTACTTTCATTATTTAACAAAATTAAATACATATAATTCATTATTTAATATAAGTGCCGATAGTCATTATATATAAATATGATTTTAGTCAAAGTCATTATTTATAAATAATTATTTTAACATCACATATTATTTGTAAATAAGGTAAATTGCTCCACTAATTATTTATATATATTTGTTTGAAGAAAACTAATTATATGTATATAATGCATGTACTAAGGCGCCAAATGTACTTTCATTATTTAACAAAATTATATACGTAATAAGTACATTTTGTGCCTTAACAAAATTATATACATATAAGTATACTTTCATTTCTTAACAAAATTATATACATATAAGTACATTTGACGCCTCAAGGCGCCAAATGTACTTATATACATATAATTCATTATTTAATATATAATTCAATATTTGTTCATTATATACATATAATAAGTTTTGCCTCCAACAATATATAAATAAATGGTGGAACGATTTTCATTATTTATAAATAATTTTAAGTAGCAAAACATTTATAAATAACTGAAGTGCCGAAAGTCATTATCTATAAATAATGATTTTACTCATAGTCATTATTTATAAATAGTTGTTTTAATATCATATTATTTATAAATAACGAAAATCGCTTCACCAGTTATTTATATATAATTGTTGGAAGCAAAACTAATTATATGTATATTACGAAAAAATGTTGAATTATATATTAAATAATGAATTATATGTATATAATTTTGTTAAATAATGAAAGTACTTGGCGCTTCATAATGGTTATAGGCAAAACTAATTATATGTATATAATGAACAAATGTTAAATTATATATTAGATAATGAAGTATATGTGTATAATTTTGTTAAATAATGAAAGTACATTTGGCGCCTCATGTCTAGGCCTATAAGGATAAATTGGTTTGGTCTCAACTGCGGACAATGGATGATGAGGATGATATCAATGTGTTGTGTTATGTATTATTATAATAATTATTATGATCAATCATTATGATGATTATTCACAAGAAATATTTTAAAATTTGTTTAGTTCCACTTCAATTACATACAAATATAAACACATTAAAATTAAGAGACCATTCGTTTTTAAAATTAATTTTATTCATCCATTATTTCAAGATTCAAGATAAATTTTATTGTCTGAAAACCTCTGTTACAAGTAGTGCTTATAACATGTACAGTAATAAATGAAGTAAACAAAGATATGAAAATATAAAACTACATGCGAACCAAACAATATTTAGTCATAAGGTGTACAAAAAGAATATTAGAACATTATTAAACAATATTACACATTACTATTTTTGGTCATTTATTCTAATCACAAGTTTGCTGTGCAGATGACCTAGCTCAGTTATTTATTCACCAGTACTTCGATCACATGTTTATAATAAAATACATAATAATAAATCATAATCTATTGTTTGAAACAATAACCAAGAAAATTTTGCTTTATAAAACACTCTGTATATGGCAAATATCATCATTCTCTAACTAATCAGGCATATTGTAGTTACCCTTTGTGCGGTTGAAATATGAAAGAAAGAAACTGACAAAAAATCCAGAAAAACCTATATTGTTCGTGTATCATTAGCTAACTTTTAATAAAATTAATTACGATTAGGCCTAAGAAATCAGTTTCACTGAAAAAAATATTTCAATATAAAATTCGTTATAATCACTACCATTTCGTTTCATTTATTTCGTCAAACAGAAAACAAAACATACAGAAATAACAATACCAAAAATCAGAGACAGGATAAACAAAAAGCAAACTAAATTGCTGTATAAAGTTTCTCCACTGATTTTAGGATACATAAAATATATAAATAAATAAATAATAATAATAAAATTTCAAGTTTTTAAATGTTAATTTTGTTAACTTGATTTAAAGATGTAAAATGTATTTGTATTTAAAAAAAATGTATTTAGGCCTATTCATTAAAAAACCAACAGCGATGAACCTGGATGAACACCGCGACTAACAGGTTTGCGGTTTTACAGATGGTATGTTAGTAAAGTTAGTATAATAAAAGATAATAATAATGTTTCGAAACGATTCGTTTGAAACTATTCGTGGTGAAACAACTCATGACTCCATAACTTCAAATAGTTATATGTTATACATATATATTTTATTCATTCAAAGAAGGACCCACTGTTGAAAGCTTTGCTTGTGGTTTTTCCTTTTCTACAAATTTGTAATTTGTAGGCCAAAAAAAAAAAAAAAAAAAAAAAAAAAAGAAAGATGTGGAATAAAGATATTGAATTGAATTACCTGTATTGTTTCCCTTTTGGCTGTTGTTTATGTGCTTTGGTGACTTTGCAATGTTTTATTGGCTGTTGTTTGATAACTCTTCTATATTTTAATTATTGTATTTTACTGCTTTTGATCATTGTTTTAATATTTTTACTGTCAATTATTAATGCAAGTAGCGAATTTTTGGAGCAATAAGTTCATCTTATTATTAAGGTACCGCATGGAGTAGTTGTGTGTATGGGAGAAAGATCCTCTGATTGCGCCCTCAGCCGATTACAAAAAATATCGCCAACTCAAACAAAATGGCTGAGTCGGCGAAGATGAGGAACGCGAAAGTTATACGTGAAAAACTGAGCTATTGGGAACATAAAGGAGACCCCAAAGCACCGTTGTCGGACATACAAAAAGATAGTTTTATGGAATTGGCAACTATTGCTTCTAGTAGGCCACTACCAGTAGAGGTAACCGAACCTGTTTGCACTCTAGGGCTAGGTAGGCCCTAGGCCCCTAGGCGTGCCTAGGCCTACCTAGATAGGGGGTCTAGGCTAGGCTAGTAGTATGTGCCTACTCTCTAGTGTATTTGGACGAGCTTAGGCCTAGCCTGGGCCAGATTTGGATAGGTAAAATGTAGGCCCTTGCAAATTAGAAACATTTCGCCAATATAGATATTAATAATAATCTTATAAACTTTTGCCGACTTTTGTGTGGAAAATACTATGAAATAATTATTAATTGTATTATTTGACATATTAAAATAAATTTATAATTAATAATAATATTAAATAATAGGCCTAGGTACTAGGCCCTAGTACGCCTAGCCCAGGTACTAGGCCTAGGGGCCTACAGGCCTAATATACCATGTCCATGGTACAGTCAGTACATACAGTATGTCCACGTTTGGGTCATTTGTTTTGTCTTGTGCAATAGCAACTTTAAACAGTTTTAAATGATCTTTATACATTTTGATGTTCTGTTAATTGTTGTGATTTGTGCAATTTAGATTTTTATTTCTTTTAATGTAATTTTTTAATCTTTTAAATTCTAAATTACATAAGAAATTTGAATGTTTTGTTTGCTTTGTTTGTCTATATGTAATAATTATAATAAAATGAATGTATATAATAATAAATATAATAATGATAATGACAATAATGATAACAATATATTAATGCTTCAATGGTACACTACATAGATAGTTCTGAAAAGAACTGTTGTTATTTGTTGAGATATTCTCAACCAACAACAGTTCTTTTCAGAACTATCTACGTGGTGTACCGCAAGCATTAATATATTGTTACTTCGCCATGCAAACCTTCAAACATTATTAGTAATAATAACAACGATAATACAACGAAAGATATTTTTTTTTCTATTGCCACTTTTTTTTAACTTATTTTGTAAACATCTTTCTCAATTCAGTTTATGAACTGCTATGAAAATGTGTTATGTTTTACTTTTTACTGAATAAAGATACCTTGATATGAGTTAGGCCTAGAAAAAAAAAGATTAGGCTTAGATCAAGATAATTGCCCGATTGTAGAAATATGTTTATTCTTAATAATATAAAAGTGACTTAAATTATTGTCTATATAGACATTGACCCAGGCCAGAGTAGGCCTACCAGAGCCCTGTTGTTTCCAGTCAAGCATTTGGTTCTACAAATACAAATATTATCAACTTTATTGCAATTTGCATAAAATATGAAATTGAAGTTAACTCATAAGATGAAATTAATACAGGATTGCACAAGACAAAGAAAACAAAATAAAATCTAACTAATACCAAATAAATACAAACTACTACAGTACCTCTGTGTATAACCAACCACCTAACACCTGAATTCAATCAATGTCTGTCTTCATCTTAGATACCAATTGATGAAATAGGAAGCTTTACTCAACACATACCCATCGCATCATCTGACTTCTCCAATGTTGGCAAGGATGTTATCAGTGAAGGATTTGCTTCTCTGGATATGGAAAATGAGAAAATCGAAAATGCACAACAGGTTCATATTCTTATACTTATTTTTACATTTATTTACATTTAAGTATATATATTTTCTGAATGAATCATTAAAGTGTTTTATATTGCTTAAGGAATTTTTTTTATGCACTTTGATGTTGATAACTTATTATTTAAATAGGCAGTTCAATGTTGAACTTGAGTTTTTGAGGGTTTCCCACGATACAGACTTTTTTTGGTTTCAGTTCAGTTCAGTTTATTTGTTTCACACAGTTCAGTTCAGTTTATTTGTTTAATTTATGGTAGAGGAGTATCTTTTGTAAGAAGTGAGAACGCTACTTCAAACAAAGTTAATTTTCAATTTAATTTCTATACCAGTGCCTATGGTCACTTACTAGGTCGGCCACAGCCATACCCTAGCATGGATCCTCCATTCATCACAGTTCCGCATACTGGCTGCTAACTCATTTGTCTCTTCTAATCCAGAACCTAGGGTGAAGCATAAATAAAGATTTCAAATACCATCCCCCTTCCCACTTGCTGCTTCATAAACTGTATAGCCCCTACCTAGATTTTTCTCTGGATCTGTCCCTGAACAAACATAATAATATATTGTAGACTGTCAGTCAGTTCGTTATATTATATTTTCTCCTTTAATCTATTCATCTTCTTTTTCAGTTTTTTGCTTGGTTCAACAAAGTGGAACAACAAATGGACATGGATGAAGAAATCTCATACAAGTAAGTCACATGACCAGATTTTACCTTAATACTAATAAAGACAGTCCGACGTACAGTACACCAATATCGACTGCTGTGAGATGCGTTATCACCCCGCACCAATTACCCCTCATGTACTCATGATTTGTAACTTTAATGTGAATATAGTTAACGTTTGTTTATATTTTTACATACTGTAAAGGGTCCTTAAGGTCTGTCCACAGTATCATGTTTCATATGACAAATACCTTTGGTTTGCCCATATATGGACGTGATATGACATCATCTTTGCCATATATGGGAAAATCACAAATATTTGTCACTGAAAAGTGATAGGGTGGGAAGAACAATAGGACCGATTTGTATGTAGTAATCATATAATAATATTTTCTTTTATTTATACAGTATGGACCTTAGGTGTTTGTGAGAGTGGTTTTCGTTGTAATGTTATTTGTCTATTATTTGTTGTCATGTGTCGGTAAATATAGGATTTTTAATTTGAATGTTATATTGTTTTTGTATTCTTAGGGCCCATTGTGACCAGCTGTCACAGTATAAGGAGCAGTGTGAAGATGTCCTGCAGGAGGTGTCGAGGGCGCTCTTCCACCTTGAGGAACTACAGAAGCAGCATGTGTTTGTATCTACAAAGACCAACGCACTTCATGAGGCCTGTGAAGAATCTCTCAGAGAACAAGTAGGTTTACATTTCGTGGGATTTATATTATACAAATACCAATTTTATGTACTTGTGTAGACCTATGCACACAAATATTGTTGCAAAATTTGTTATTCATGATTTTATGTATTTTTTTTTTCTTTATTTTGGGTATTTTCCTTATTAAACACATCAGTGATTAACAGAATAGTCCAAAGACTTATTTACAGTGCATCATTCTGTTTTGAGAATTAAATTGAGATACACCAAGGTTAATCGCCTGCTCTTTTTCAAAGAATGTAGGCCTACTGCATAATTTAACTTGCAAATAAGCCATACTGTATTGCACAGGAATATCCATCTAAATGTCTCCTCTGAAAGACAGTGCACTATTGTAACTTGCACTTCAGGCCTCCAGCTTAAAAATGAGATAAATAGTCTGAAAGGATCTTTACTTTTTCAATGCACATATATTAGCTGAATGAGCTACTGTGAGCTATTCCCTGAGTTATGAAACATAATTATTTGTTAGCAGACCTGATTGTAAAATTTGATTTTTTTCAGACAAGCTTAGTCAATAAAGCAGAGACAATAAGTAGTAAACTGTCATACTTCAATGAATTGGAACGAATTAACACAGTAAGTCTTTTTCTATGTCTGCTATAACCTCATCCAACATAAGCTTATAAGAGCAACAAGGAATGCACTTATTCAAAACAACATTTCTATTGCCATTAAGAAACTTTCTATGTTGTTTTTTTATTATGGTTTTCTACATGAACAAATGAATGAAGGATTTTACTATAACTTTGCCAAATGATCCCATGATTTATAACCGACACTATTTTTGCCAGTTGCATATTCTGGAGTATAATTTATTCATTGTTTTTTCAATGTAAATTTATTCATAAAATTGTATTTAGTGTTGTTTTTTTTTCTCTAGAAACTTAGTTCACCAACTTTTTCTGTGTCGGGAGATTCACTTGTACCAGTACTATCCAAGTTGGATGAATGTATCACTTATATATCTTCAAATGTAAGTATTGTCTTAGTATTACTGTTTTTGTGTCAAAATAAGTATGTTATGCTCAATGTTACTACCAGTTTCTGATCTCTGATGAGCAACAACAGCTTTTCACATCTCACCACCATTTCTGGTCTTTCGTGACTGGCATGTTACAGTCAGTATCTCATGTCTCACAATATTGTTTCTGACGTTTTATTATCAGCATTTCATGATCAGTTTTTCATATTTTGTGACAAGTGTTTCATTTCTCATGAACAGATTCTTATGTCTCACATCCAGCCTTGCTTTCACATATCTGTACGATTATTATTTTGCCCTTTTTTGTTGCAGCCACATTTCAAGGAATCACAACTTTACCAAACCAAGTTCAAATCGTGTCTATCAAAGGCGTGTCAACTGATGAGGACAAGCGTTTATAACACTTTACAACATGCCACCCAACAAGTACTCAGCAGAAAGGTTACAATCATTTGATAATTTTATTTAATTTACATTTATAAGGATAAGTAACTCTTACTCAAATAAACAATGAACAAATCAAATATTTAATTCTAATGTTAAATTGTATTAGCTTATCAATTCAAAATACACTGACATTTCCAATTTTTGTTCCTATATGGAAATACTCAATATACAGTAGGGAGAACTCTTCTTGGCAGCTATATTGAAAAAAATTGATTTTGGCAAGTTTATCTTGCAAAATTGATATTTGAACAATAATATGAAAATAATAAATCACTATTAATAAGATGTAAAGGTGAATGAAAAAATATTGAATGTATTGTATAGTTGATATTTCATTGGCTATTTACAGGATGCCGATAACCAATCAGAGAATGCATTTACGCTGTTTTATGGGAACTTTCGAACAAGTGCTCCAAAAGTGAAAGCTATTATGGAACAAGTTGAACTAAGGGTGAATCGAGGGTCTGAGTAAGTCAAATAAGTTCTAAGTCATTATGTACAGTGTTGTTGATTGGAATTAGTCTTGATGATGACAAAAACAGCAACAATGTAATGATAATGAGGGTAATGATGTTGGTGTTGATTTTGGTGTTGGTGATTATTTGGTGTTGGTGATAATATTAATGGTGTTTTTGGTAATGATGATAATTGTATTAGTATGCAGTGATGTTGATAATTATGATGGTGTAAGTTGTGGCGATGATAATAGTGATGGTGTAAGTGGTGGTTATGATAATGGTGGTGGTAATGATAATTTTGGTGGCAGTGTAGTGGTGAAGATGGTGTTAAAAATGATAATGAGGATGGTGGTGGTGATGGTGGGGATTATGGTAGTGAAGGTGACGATAATGGTAGTAGTGATGGAGATGTTGATATTGATAGTGATGATAATGATGGTGAAGTCGGTAGTAGTGCTCCCGATGATGTAGATAATGATAATAATTTAATATCTTATGCATTTATTTGGAGCATTAATGGGGTTTGGTAATCTGTATAATCTTTTCCCAAGAATATCCACATTATTATTATTTTCTTTCAATTTGCCTTTCCCTCAGATACCAAACCTTACTGGACAACTGTTATTCTTATTACTTTGCTCAGCGACAGACATTGCTGGCGCCTAGTGTGGCAGTGGCTGTTACTGAACTGGCATCTAAGCATGTGCGAGATCACTGTGCACTTGTAAGAATAATTAACCAATCAACTTCATTCGTTAAAATCACATGACAGTATAGCCTATTAAATTTATGCATTTGTTCTGTATTGCTATAGCCAGTCTATGTTGTATAATATTTTCATATATTAAAGTCATTCAGTTGCTACTAAGTTTTGCTTCCAAATACTGTAGAACCTCTCCTTTGGGACACCCAAATTAAGGGGACACCACTATTATGGGGACACCCCTTATTAAGGGGACACATTTTGGTCCCGCAGGTGTCCCCTTAATTGGGGTTCACCTGTGATACGGACACCAAAGTTTTGATCATAAAATTGGTTAAAATTTTTATTGCAGGTTCGGAGTGGTTGTGCTTTTATGATCCATGTATGTGAAGATGAATATCAGCTGTTCTTTCATTTTTTTTCTAAGCCCACAAAAAGGCTTGAGTGAGTACTCAGATTGATTTATATATTAACTTTTATCTTATAATGGTTTGATAGGTGTCAACTTGCTGCAGCTGGGGTTCACAAATGAGCCTAAATTAGCTGGTGGTTGTCTTGAAATAAATAAAAAAAAGTACATATAAAAACAATTGTGTTAAAACAGTAATAACATTATTCACCTCATGGTTACAACAATAATTTTAAGATGTGGAGGAGTTTATGTATACCTTCTGTGATTGTAGTGTTTTTGCTAGATACGGCAGTCTTTGTAGTTCATTGTATTATGTTTAGTATTAATGCTTTTGGTCACTATTACTGTTTTTTTGCAGTTTATTACTGGAGAGTCTTTGTAGTAGCCTGTATGATGTCCTACGACCTCTGATTATCCACATCAACCATCTGGAGACCCTTGCAGAGCTCTGTAGCATCCTTAAGATAGAGATGCTACAAGATCATGTCCAGAATAGTCGTAAGTAAAATAATTTGAAGTCTTTGAAGAGGGAGGGGCACACGATGATGCCTTTAAATAATAATTCAATTTCCTTTACTTTTCTCAATAGTAAAAACAAAAAAAAACAGAAGGAAAAGCATGGGACCGGGGAACAGTGTAAATAGTGCAAAAAAAATAATCACTACCAAGATGGTCTCTGCATTTTCACTTGCAAATCTTTTTAGAAATTTATTTTCTGATTGACATAACTTTGATTTAAGTTAGTTTGACATTTTGAGAAGGTTCACTAAAAAATGAGTGACCATGTTATTTTAAATTGTTCACAGCTAAAGAACTAAAGTCATTTGAAACAATTGCCTGCCAGATGCTGGAGGATGTCCAAGAAAGACTGGTCTTCCGGTCTCACATCTACATTCAGTCCGATATTTTAAACTATAAACCTGCCCCAGGGGACTTAGCGTATCCTGAAAAACTGGAAATGATGGAGGTGAGTAAGATGCACGCTGCTCTGGTTGTCGGCAGATGAATTAACAACCACTTTTCTGTGAGCTCTTGAAGATGCAACTCCACTGTTTGTTTATGGTTCTTTAAGATTTCGGTATAAATCACTATATAAATCCTACATTACAATACTTTATCAGCAATCCAACAGAAACAGTGTTCCCACTTTCAGGCGTTGTGTTTAAATATATATTACACTGAATTCTTTGATATCCAATACATTTGTCACAGTATGGAGTGATGCTTTTTTAACTAAGTCTCTTTACGAGGCTTAGAGAGTGGAAAGCAATTATGAAGCTGCAGCTCCACATTAAACTTAACTTAGAATAACTTTCAGTAAATTTTATCTTTCAGAGCATAGCTGAGAGTTTGAAGAAGGATTCTCTGTCACGCCAGAGTTCAGTTGGATCATTGACAAGTCAGGAGGTGGCTGTTATCACAGACACATCCTCTGCCATTCAAGGTGATAATGCTGTAAATGGCACAGAAGTAAAACCACTGCTGCCAGGTAACAGAACTTGTTGGTGTATTTACCTTTAGATGTTTGCCTTAAACCCTGTTCACACTATCAAATTCTATTTGACAAAAGCATGTGACATGCCTAAATATAGTCATGATAACATCACATCATGACCATATATAGGCACATCATGACTATATATGGGCATACAACGTTTTTTGTTGAAAAAAAATTGGTTAGTTTGGACAGAGCTTTACATACATAACAGCATTGTTTCAAACTTTGTGAAGTACCCAGATTTTATAAAAAAACTCTACTACACTGACCATCAGTGGTAGCATGAGCAAATCATCATTGAAAACGATTTGTTGTGTAATGTCATCATGTCACAGTTAGTAATTGCTGTTTTGGATGTGAGAGATTCATTAATCTAATCATTATGTTGATAGCATGATACATGCTTTCCCCAATCAGTATCAAACACAGTTGGTCTTACATTGATAAGTTTGTTGTTTTAATTCATATAGAATACCAAATTACTATTTGAATATTTTTGGGAAAAAAAATATTGTCTGTTTAAATGTCATTGAATGTTAAAAATCAACTCAAAGTGGTTATTGTATAAAGTTATGTTCTGTGTGTAATTAACCATATTTCGGTTTGTGATAAACTTAACTCTTCTTTGTAAATATCATTAAATGTCAAAATTCAACACAAGTGGTTGTTGTAAATTCATGTTCTGTAATGATAATTTTTCTGTTAACAGTGATAAACACAGCTCCAACACAGGTGAACTCTTCACTCTCACCTGCCGATCTCCATGGCATGTGGTACCCAACTGTGAGGAGAACGCTCGTCTGCCTCTCAAAACTCTACAGGTGCATTGATGTGAGTGCATTTGATTGCAATTTAGTTGCAGTAATTATACATCTCACAGAAAAAATAATTATAGTCAATACTATAGAACACCTAGGTAACTCACTTAATTGATCAGATAACTAAGTAAAGTAAGAAAGTTTTGATAAGGCAGATATTGCAACAGTTCCTATGAGCATTGACACGAGGGGGAAGGAGACATGGAAATGCGATGAAGCTGATAGGGGATTTTTTCTTTTTTTAAAGCAAATTTTCAGTTCCTGGGGATGTAAACTTTTTCTAGGGGAAGCTTGTATACCCCATTCCCCATTAGATACACTACTGTAACCCAGTAAACTAATATAAACCAGTAATGTCAGATAACCCAGTAAAACAAGATAACCCAGTAAAGCCTGATTGCTCAGATAACCAATTATTGGATGTAGGCTAATTCCTGTAATATGTGAACAATATTTGTTAAATACTTGTTTGAAGAAAATATACTACAATTTTAGTTTACATAATATTTATAATAGACCATTAATTAACTTAGTATTTACAGTACCTCTAACTATATTATTTTGTTTATTCTGGATAAACTATGTTCATCTTTGTAAAATGATATCACTATTTAATTAATTAATGAATTTAAGATATTCTTGTGTCTTTACAGAAAGCAATATTTCAAGGCTTGTCTCAAGAAGGACTTCATGCTTGTATCATGTCTCTCATTGTGGCTCAGCAAGGTATAACAAAAAGAAAGGTAGGTTGGTAATTAGTTAATATTATTGTACATCAAATATCATAATCAATGTTAACTTTTACATATATGAGTAAGCATTTATTGATTATGAAAATTATTATTTCTCCGTGGATGTTTACCTTAATTTATTTCTTTTTAGGCTGCCCTTGACGGACAACTATTTTTAGTGAAACACTTGTTGATACTTCGTGAGCAGATTGCACCGTTTCATGTTGATTTCTCAATCAAGGAAACAGCCCTTGATTTCAGTAAGATGCGAGGTAAGTGCACCTTTTTGTTTCTAGTATGTAGTGACCAAACCAGAAGATCTGGCTTCCTCTGCTAACCCTCTCCTCAACATTTCCCTGCAATTGCCCCACAATCTCTCTCCTCTCCCCTCTCCCTCCCACTCCTCTCTCTCCCTCTTTCATCACTTTATCTGCCATTTCCCTTCCTCCCTTCCACTGTTCTTCCTATCTCCTTGCTCTCTTTATTCATCTCTCATGCATTTCCTCACTCTTTTATATCTGTTTCCTTCTACCCTCTGCCTATTCGTTATTTCTCCTCCATTTTTTTTCATTTTCCCTCCATCACTCCTTAAATTCAGGCTCTGGAGAACAATTTTTATTGATATGTTGATATGTAACTAATTTTATTTAAGACACAAAAAGCATATTTGATGAAAAACTTCAAAGCAGTCACTGACATAACAGATTTCTGAATATTTAAAAACTGGAGGAAAATTGCTGTAACAACCCTTTTCCACCTTTCCTTCTTCTCAATCTTTAAATATTCAAAATTATGTATCTCATTAGCCGCTCACAAGTTTTTTGTCGTTCATCGTTTTTGTGTCTTAGGAAAATCAGGTGTACAATATATAAAAAAATGTTTTACCTCTGGAGCCTGACTTTAAGCCTTATAATGAGAAATTTTTGAAGACATTTATGTATATATTCATTTCTTTACATTCTTTAATTTAATTTAATTTAATTTAATTAAAAATTAAATAAATTTAATTAAATTTTTTGAAATTAAATTAATTAAATTAATTTTAAAAAATTTTTTTTTCCTTTTCATCTCTTTATTTATTTGTGTCATCTCGTCTTGATCAATATATATATAAAGTATTTCCTTAATTATCATTTCTTTATCAGATGCTGCCTATGGCCTATTGCGTCAACGATCGAGATTATTTTCTGTAAATAGTAACAATGCATTCCTTGAGTTTTTGTTTGAGGTAAATATCATTTTAGATGTTCTTTTAAACTAGCAAACAAAAAAGGCATTAGGTAATGATATACCAAGCAACTAAAAGCTAATCTTAGACCTCATTCCAACTTGCTCTATTATTTTAGCTTTTTCATATGTATTATATGTCACATTACTTTGAATGAACATCTTCTGAGACAAAAATGATGTAAAAGTACTTATTACAGGCCTTGATTTATTGATTGATTGATAAAAGAAATTGGTTGATATGGGTTGGTTGGTTTATTTATTTATTGGTTGGTTGAATACAAACAAAACAAATGGAACAAATGAATCAAATGAGCA